ACTGACTGTCTGTCTGTTACTGTCTGTTACTGTCTGTCTGTTACTGTCTGTTACTGTCTGTCTGTCTGTTACTGACTGTCTGTCTGTTACTGTCTGTGGTAATGATGTTTCAACCTATATGTTGACTGTGTGTCTGTTACTGTCTGTCTGTCTGTTACTGTCTGTGGTGATGATGTTTCAACCTATATGTTGACTGTGTGTCTGTTACTGTCTGTCTGTCTGTTACTGTCTGTTACTGTCTGTGGTAATGATGTTTCAACCTATATGTTGACTGTGTGTCTGTTACTGTCTGTCTGTCTGTTACTGTCTGTTACTGTCTGTGGTGATGATGTTTCAACCTATATGTTGACTGTGTGTCTGTTACTGTCTGTCTGTCTGTTACTGTCTGTTACTGTCTGTCTGTTACTGTCTGTTACTGTCTGTTACTGTCTGTGGTGATGATGTTTCAACCTATATGTTGACTGTGTGTCTGTAAGAACTGATGCTGGTGTGACACCAAATATTGATTTACATTTCTTTTGTTGGCTCACTTTGCATTGTGTAACAAATAATCATTATTTATATTTGTGAAAGCATTCTTAGTTTACAGCATTTTATCACAACTGCTTAAAACTTTTGCACAGTACTGTAAATATATTATTATATTATATTAAATTATATCATATTATATTATATTAAATTATAAATTATATAATATTATATTAAATTATATATTATATTAAACTATTCGTCTGTAATAATAATAACTAACTGTACAGTGTAGCAGTAACAGTAAGATCCTCTAACTAACAGTTAAAACTATTATATTATTAAACTATTATATTATTAAACTATTATATTATTAAACTATTATATTATTAAACTATTATATTATTATATTATATTATATCCATGGAACGGCGCCGGCGACAACAGCAGCCTGTCATGGCAGCTCCTACCATTGTTGTAGTTTCAGTGTGTTTTTACTATTTTGAACTCTTTTCTTACTCTCTTACTACTTTGTTCGCGTCGCCTAAATACTTTTTTGGCGTTTTTGAGCACTTTTTGTTTTTGTTTACGCTGGTCTCCATGGCGACGGGGAGTCGTATTGTTTACACCCGCGACCAGATGATCACCCTGAGGTACCCGAGCATCCTGACCGGAGAGAGAGCCTCCATACCGGAGGAGCTGAGGAGGAGACGGAGAGGCTGCAGAGCGGGTTGAACGGAGGATGAAGAAGAGGAGCTTTAAACCCTTCATCCCTGCAGTCATCGAGCAGATACCGGACTCCAACGTCACCATTCCCGGCTTCCAGACGGTTCGAGCCGACAGGGACAGCACCGGGACCGGCATGGAGAAAGGAGGGGGGACTGTCCCTGCTCATCAACAACAGGTGGTGTAACACCGGGTTCCTCACAGTGGTCTTCATCATCATCATCATCACTGTTTCTATTCCTTACAGTGGTCTTCATCATCATCATCACTGTCTATATTCCTCACAGTGGTCTTCATCATCATCATCACTGTCTATGTTCCTCACAGTGGTCTTCATCATCATCATCACTGTCTATGTTCCTCACAGTGGTCTTCATCATCATCATCATCACTGTTTACATTTATGATGTCCTATTTATTCTCCTGTGCAGCACTTTGGTTGTTTTTAAAGTGCTCAACAAATAAAGTTGGATTGGATTATATTATTAAACTATTATATAATTATATTATATTATATTATTAAATTATTAAATTATATTATTAAATTATTATATTATATTATTAAACTATTATATAATTAAATGACATTATATTATATTATATAATTAAATGACATTATATTATATAATTAAATGACATTAAATTATATTATATTATTAAATTATTATATAATTATATTATATTATATTATTAAATTATTAAATTATATTATTAAATTATTAAATTATTATATTATATTATTAAACTATTATATAATTAAATGACATTATATTATATTATATAATTAAATGACATTAAATTATATTATATTATTAAATTATTATATAATTAAATGACATTATATTATATTATATTATTAAATTATTATATAATTAAATGACATTATATTATATTATATAATTAAACTATTATATTATATTATATAATTAAATGACATTATATAATATTATATAATTAAATGACATTATATAATATAATATAATTAAACTATTATATAATATAATATAATTAAACTATTATATAATATAATATAATTAAATGACATTATATAATATAATATAATTAAATGACATTATATTATATAATATAATTAAATGACATTATATTATATAATATAATTAAACTATTATATAATATAATATAATTAAATGACATTATATTATATAATATAATTAAACTATTATATTATATAATATAATTAAACTATTATATAATATAATATAATTAAATGACATTATATAATATAATATAATTAAATGACATTATATTATATAATATAATTAAATGACATTATATAATATAATATAATTAAATGACATTAAATTATATTATATTATTAAATTATTATATAATTAAATGACATTATATTATATTATATTATTAAATTATTATATAATTAAATGACATTATATTATATTATATAATTAAATTATATTATATAATTAAACTATTATATTATATTATATAATTAAATGACATTATATAATATTATATAATTAAATGACATTATATAATATAATATAATTAAACTATTATATAATATAATATAATTAAATGACATTATATTATATAATATAATTAAACTATTATATAATATAATATAATTAAATGACATTATATTATATAATATAATTAAACTATTATATAATATAATTAAACTATTATATAATATAATATAATTAAATGAAATTATATTATATAATATAATATAATTAAATGACATTATATAATATAATATAATTAAACTATTATATAATATAATATAATTAAATGACATTATATTAAATAATATAATTAAATGACATTATATTATATAATATAATTAAATGACATTATATTATATAATTAAATGACATTATATTATATAATATAATATAATTAAATGACATTATATAGTATAATATAATTAAACTATTATATAATATAATATAATATAATATAATATAATTAAACTATTATATAATATTATATAATATAATGACATTAGTAGCACAGACAGATTAATACAGTGTATTCACTGTTAGCCGTTAGCCACCGTTAGCTGCTGTAGAAGTGCTGTCTCATTCAGTCTCTTCAGACTTTATAAACCCTCCACAGAAACGGAACCGGCTCCGGTTCGGTCGGCTCCGGGCCCACAGACCACGTACTCACCCCGGTGCTGACTTCCCGGCTGGTCCAGTCCGGAACCAGGTCGTATTTATCAGAAACATTTTGTCCAAAGATCGGAACCATCGCTGCTGCCGCCATCTTCTCTCTGAGTGTGGTTCCAGAGCGCATGCGCTGTTCATGAATACTGCCGTCACTGTGAGGCGGGTAATTAGCGTTTATAAGAGTTACAAACCTGAATCATTAAATAACACGGTATATTTTAGTAAATGTCTTTATGTTGTTGCTGTGAGCGAACGTACATTTATAAAACAATAAAAGAGTTCTGTTGCGGCAGGTAAGCGGACACCTCTTGCGGCGGGGTCCTGAACCAGGAAGAGAAGGTAAACACTGCAGCTGCTCCGTAAAATGTCTCAAATAAACTCTTTAAAGACAAAAACTAGCGCCATTTAAACACGATTCTGTGTTTATGAACAGTTATTGTACTTGTGTGAGAACAGATTCTGTGTTTATGAACAGTTATTGTACTTGTGTGAGAGCAGATTCTGTGTTTATGAACAGTTATTGTACTTGTGTGAGAGCAGATTCTGTGTTTATGAACAGTTATTGTACTTGTGTGAGAGCAGATTCTGTGTTTATGAACAGATTCTGTGTTTATGAACAGTTATTGTACTTGTGTGAGAGCAGATTCTGTGTTTATGAACAGATTCTGTGTTTATGAACAGTTATTGTACTTGTGTGAGAGCAGATTCTGGTTCCAGCTGTATTCAATCAGAGTAACAGCCGTCTGAACCGAACCGATCACCAGACTCCGTTCAGAAAACGGTCCTTTTAACACTGAATGTAACAGTTAACGGGTAAAAACACCGGATCGATAAAACCACCGGGGCTGCTCATCACCGAGAGGAACTGTTCTTCAACTCGGCACACAACATACACACCCAGTGATTATTGACAGTTATTGATCGATTGGTTTCTGAGAGAATTGACAAAATGCGTTCAGGAAGGTGTTGATCAATGTGTGTGTGTGTGTGTGTGTGTGTGTGTGTGTGTGTGTGTTACTGTGTGTGTTACTGTGTGTGTAGATGACGGTCCACAACCTGTACATATTCGACCGTAACGGCAGCTGTCTGTATTATAACGAGTGGAACCGGAAGAAGCAGGCGGGGATCTCCAAAGAGGAGGTGAAAGAAAAAGAGATAAAGATATAACTTTATTATAAAGAGAATATAAAGTGTTAAAGAGATAAAGATATAACTTTATTATAACGAGAATATAAAGTGTTAGAGATAAAGATATAACTTTATTATAAAGAGAATATAAAGTGTTAAAGAGATAAAGATATAACTTTATTATAACGAGAATATAAAGTGTTAAAGAGATAAAGATATAACTTTATTATAAAGAGAATATAAAGTGTTAAAGAGATAAAGATATAACTTTATTATAAAGAGAATATAAAGTGTTAAAGAGATAAAGATATAACTTTATTATAAAGAGAATATAAAGTGTGAATGTTAAAGAGATAAAGATATAACTTTATTATAACGAGAATATAAAGTGTTAAAGAGATAAAGATATAACTTTATTATAAAGAGAATATAAAGTGTGAATGTTAAAGAGATAAAGATATAACTTTATTATAACGTCTGTGTGTCTGCAGGAGTTCAAGCTGATGTACGGGATGTTGTTCTCCATCC